GAAATCTAGGAGTCCAATGCAGCTTACTCGACGTAGGACTGATGCGTCAGTTGTGTTGTCATTGTTGCTGCCAGGCCGTTGGAGTCTATGCGATACACCTCTAGGGTTGGATGGTGGAACACGCCGCCGGCGATCCCATGGACACCTAACTTCGTCGCTTCAAGACCTAGAAATGAATTCGCAGCCAAGACGTAAGTGTTTGATCGATCGGCGTCCATCCATATGTAAGTATATATGCCAGTAGCACGTGTGTCTACCATTGCAGTGCACAACTTCTCGAAGAACCTGGTAGCCGGTGCAGTCTAACGACGCGTTCTGATGCACGGCAGACGACGACGTCCATGGTGCGGTCGCCGACGTACCTGCAGCGCCGACGTCTTGCGCACCGCTAGTATTAATTAGCAGGATCGTCGGCAAGCAGGGCGGCATTGTGCCTAGTAGGAGCGCTGTTGTCGACGGCGGAGTCGTCGTTGATGTCGAACGTCGGTGGCGGCCACTCTAGGAGAATATTGTCGCCGGAAGGACCTGCTGCGATGGCGCTTTGCTCCGCCGGTGCTGCCTGCAGCGGCGGCGGGTCCATGCCGCCGTTCATGTCCAGCAAGTAGAAGACGTCGTCATCGAAGTCGTCCTCCGGCACAAGGAACGGGTCGTAGATCCCTTGCCCGTCGTCGGCACCGTCGTTGCGGGCGCCGTGTCGGCCATTATGTACGTGTATATAGGCGGAGCGCGCCGCGCCGCAGCGGGGTGATGGAGGCCAGCGGGCGCGCGTATGAGAGAAATGGCGGGCGATCGAGGGCCGGGTGTAGCGGTTTTGATGACGAGGAAGCGGTTAACACTGTCTGTCTTTCTGTCCACGCGATCGATATCACACTCATATGCGCATTTCTTTCCATTAATTAATATTGTTTTTGTGTTTCTTTCGCTACCATTATTTTGTGTTTCCTTAATTTTTATTTGTAAAAAAAGTCCTTAGATTAGTGGGATTAACTTGATTCATTTTTACCTTCCAAAAATGTATTTGGAGAGGCCACTCCACTTAAGCTTATGGTGAGAGGCCCCATCTCCATCCGCTGATGATGCTTAGATGGCTGGTACTGGGTGTCTCTCATCGTTGTATTGGTGCACGGGAGCAGATGGCAAACACTAGAGGCTCTTGTATTTGAACTTTACGCTAGTAAAAAGATGTTTTTGCTGGCGGCCACTTTGTCAGACTCTCTAATTAATCACAGACGGGTTCATTCGTCGATACGTAAGAGTAGGCATTAGTACACTGAACATCACTACTGGCGGTTCTATACCTATTTTTACTGGCTTTTTATGCCAGTGTGAAAGTCGTTTAAAAATCAACTAACTTTGCCGGCATCACCTAAGAACCGCCACGATAAGTATTTACATTGGAGGTTTTCTTAAGATAACCGCCACTGTAAATCAATTTATCTTGGTGATTTTTCAAAAATTACAAATCAGGCTAAAAATAGCACAAACAAATTATTGGGGAGGCCTGCACTAGGCAACCACCCAATTTCTAGCAATTTTTTTCATTTGCGGTCTCCAAGAATCGAACATAAAACCCAGGGCTTCGCATGATATGCCCCTTACCACTACACCCCAAACTCAATTGTGAATTAACAATAGAAACAATCATCTAGCATTTACTCCGCCAGATTTCACTACTACAATAAAACTTAACCGAGGCATTTGACAAAGGGGCTCGGAGGCGGACAAGCATTTGAACTGCCTCGGTTAATGCCTCGGTTTAACCGAGGCGGTCATTTTTATTAACTGAGGCGGTCACAATCAACCGCCTCGCAAAATCGATTTACGGAGACAGATAAAAAAATAACCGTCTCATAAAATCTATTAACCAAGGCTGGCCTTATAAGAGGCCCGCATCAAAAAAATCAGGCCATTTTCGGAGGCGGACCTCTTAAAGGCCCGTCTCCGTTAATGTGGCCGGGCCCTGTTAGAAGCCCATCTCCACTCGGTCATTGTATATAAGCCAGGTTGAAACCCTAGCCCCCAAATCCACTCAATCTTCTCACCCTCACCCTTGTCCTCAGCGCCGCTCGGTCTCACGCGAATCACGCCGCGCCGCTCGGTCTCACGCGAATCACGCTCGGTCACACGTCTCTCCCTCACCAGTCTCTCTCTCTCTCACCGGTCTTCTCTGTCTCACAGGTCTCGCACGGTGGTGAAGCGGCGGCGTGGCCACCCGTCGTGGGCACGGGCCCCGTCCTCCTCCAGGGTCCTCTCTCGCTCGGATCCGGTCAGGGGTGGAGTAGCAGCGGCAGCAGGCAGCCTCTCTCGCGATGGTGGCTCCTGGCGGCGCGGATCCTGGCGTACGGTGGATCCTTGCGGGCGGAGCAGCAGTAGCAGTGGGTAGCGGTGCGGATCCTAGCGGGCGGAGCAGCAACAGCAGCGGTTGGCGGCGCGGATCCTGCCGGGCCGGCGGCGGTGGCTTCTGGGTTCTAGATTCGGCGACGGGCCCTCTCCCGTCGGCGGATTTGGGCCCTCTCCCGTCGGCGGATCTGCGCCCTCTCCCGGCGGCGGATCCGGTGGAGGATCTAGGCCCTCTCCCGTCGGCGGATCTGCGCCCTCTCCCGTCGGTGGATCTGGGCCCTCTCCCGTCGGCGGATCTGGGCCCTCTCCCGGCGGCGGATCCGGTGGAGGGTGGTCCCAACAAGCGGCGGCGCGCACGCGCGGATGGGATGGGCTCAGCGGGTCTATCCATGGATTTTTCTATTTTTTATTTAATTAACCGAAGTGGGCATTTCAACTGTCTCGGGAAAGATTTATTTATCGGGACCTTTCGACCGAGGCGGTAGTGATGCCCGCCTCGGTTAATCTGTTTTGCCCGCCTCGATTAAAATTTCTGTAGTAGTGTTTTGAAATGGAGATTTGAAGCCTTAAACGAATTCAAATGGAAAAGTTTCAACTGTTGTTGGGTAAAGTTACTCAAACATCAGAGGAACGTAATAAACTCAATTGCTTATTCATTTCATATACGTGAACAGTACATGTCAGGGGGTATTTATAGAGGTCCTATTCTTCGTAATTCTTATACATAGGACTATAATAACCCCATGTCAAATGAATACAACCTCTTTGTTTACTAGGGGCAAATTGGTCATTACATCTTCGACTCTACGCTCTTTAAGAGAGGTCCTAAAGAAACTAGATTACTTCAGATCTAGAATTTTTTGGTAAAGTGATGAGCATAAAAGGAAGTGTAGATTAAGTTAATGGAGTATTCTTTGTTCTCCAAAAGAACAAGGTGGACTAGGAATCCTTAATCTGGATCTGCAAAATAGATGTCTCCTTTGCAAATGGCTTTTCAAACTCATAAATGAAGAATGGGTATGGCAATCTCTCAGAAGAAAATATTTGATGTACAAGACGATTACCCAAGTTGAACATATGCCTGGCGATTCTCATTTCTGGTTTGGCTTAATGAAAGTCAAACAAGAGTTTTTGAGATATGGAAAGTTCAATCTAGGTAATGAATTCAAAGTAAGATTCTGGGAGGATGTCTGGTTAGGCAATGTAGCCTTTAGAGACCAACATCCTGACCTATATAACATTGTTAGGAAAAAGAGTGCTTCTGTTAATGTGGTTCTTTATTCTAACCCTTTAAATGTCTCTTTTAGAAGATCTTTAGATGGAAATAATTTGTTGGCATGGCACCATTTAGTAGCTCGTGTGTGAATGTTCAACTAACAGATCAAAGGGATGTTTTCAAATGGTCTTTAAATCAACATGGCCTCTTCACAGTTCGTTCTATGTACAGAGAGCGTTGTTACTGGTGTTGTACCTTGTAACCATATTATATGGAAGCTAGAACTACCTCTCAATTAAAATTTTCATGTGGTACTTGATCAAAGGGATAATCCTAATAACCAAGGATATATAACCTAGACAAAAGGCGATGGAAAGGAAATCTACCAAACCCTTATTCGTGTACACCGTTTTTTTGCATCCTTAGACGGCCACGTTGCCAAATAGTAATAGTCGTCCGATCCGCAATGAAAGCATCCACTGATCCGGCTTCTGTTTATGCCTCCACAGATAGAACCATCCGGAAACTTCTCGCTGCTGCTCCAGGCCCACGTCCACTCGGAGGCCCTTATTTGTGTACACCATTTTTTGCATTCTTAGACGGCCACGTTGCCAATTAGTAGCAGCCGTCCGATCCGTAATGGAACGCATCCACTGATCCGCCTTCTGTTTACGCCTCCACCGATAGAACCATCCGGAAACCTCTCACTGCTGTTCCAGGCCCAGGTCCACTCGGAGGCCCTTATTTGTGTACACCATTTTTTGCATTCTCAGATGGCCACGTCGCCAATTAGTACAGCCGTCCGTTCCGCAATAGAACGCATCCAGTAAGGGCATGTACGAAGGCTTGCTGTCTGTACAATGACGTCATACTACATACAGACAGTTAAAACAGACAGCGTGTATAGAGGATTGTCTGTTTAGCTGTTTATTAATTATTTAACGCCTGCATGTAGTCATGATTAAGTCTAAATATAATTCATGTATACCATTACGTAGCTCGTTGATAAAAAAAGATTAAGCATAAATAAGACAACCATTACTTACTACAAAAGATCAAGCATAAACAAATTAGAAATATATTAAAAATAGATGGAAAGTAAAGAAAAAACAATGACAAAAAACAAAAGTATATAAAAATACCATATTGCTCTATATCTTCATATCCTCTACCTCTGCTCACTCGTGACCGTGTGGTTCTTATCTCTGTTTTTTTTCTCTTCCTATCTCTTCTGTATTCTCTTTAGCGTCTCCTCCATCATGGTGAGACAAAATTCCAGTGCTCGATCTTGCTTGGGCGATGAGCAGTGCGGCGAGCTCCCCGCACCGGCCTTGAAGCCGACGATTCGTCGCTCCTCGGCAGAAAGAGCTACATCATCACGCGCCTGGACCTTGCCTCCCTCGACAACGTGCGGCAGTTCGTGGACAGCTTCCGCCGCGCAGGGATGCCGCTCGACTCGCTCATTTGCAACCCACCATCTACCGCACTCAATCCTAAGAATTTGGCGCTCGGAGTCGACGATTCATACGACGCGCGGCGAAGGCATCGGTTTGGCGTGGGAGTACGAGCCGATGCCGTCGTTGCATCTCTCTTCTTTGAATGCAGTTTGTGAGGGAGTATTTTGCAAAAATTACATCGTACGGACGGCACTTGGAAGCTCGTTGTACGTGCCCTCATCTGCCTTCTGTTTACGCCTCCACCGATAGAACCATCTGGAAAACCTCTCGCTGCTGCTCCAGGCCCAGGTCCACTCAGAAGCGACACCGTACGGGCGCACCTTCCTCGCCCGCTCCGAGGTGACGCCGTTCCGCCGCACCTTCCTCGGCCGCTCCGCCGCGGTGCCAGCCGGCAGCCGACCGATGGCCGGTGGCTCTCCTCCCGTCCTCTGTTCTTCCCAGCCCCAGATCCCGGCGGCGAGTCCGTCCACGCTTCCAGTGCGTGCAGTTGCAGCGGCGCAGCCAGTCTCCGACGCGACGGTCCAGCCCGGCCGCGGCTCCTCCCACAGCTGGCTGGTAAGAGGAATGGTCTTCTCCTTATGTTCCGATCGTGCTAACAATGACACAAAAAAAATACTACATTGCTTCGCCTCCACACATGTGCTATGTTCTGTTAGTCCAAACTTACTTGCTTATTATCTCGATTACCGATTGATTCGACTTCAGTACTCATAAGCGTTTTTTTATTGTAAATGGTCTTACAGGTCGTACTATGATTTATCGCTTTGATTTGGCATTTTTGGTTCATCCACAGGTTGTACCATCTAAAAAGGCTACCTATCTTGCAGGAATATAATGTTGATCCTGTAAGTTTGGGGTGGTGGCCGTGCCCGATAACAAGGATGTAGGCGTTGAGGTGGTGGCCGTGCCTCTGCTCCTGACCTGTTCCCCTGGGTTGGTGAGCTTGGCAGGTATCGCAGCAGCTCCGCCTGCATCAGAAGCCGTAGCCGACGCGGAGCTTGCAAGTACTGAAACGGTGGCCACCCCGACCACTCTTCCTGGTCAGGGGAATGTTACTGCCATGGTTATGTCTTCGTCAGCAGTTGAAACCTTCCGATCGGTCGCCACTCATGGGACTTTCTTCAACAAGTTAGCCATGAAAACCACAAGCGTGCTGCCTACTCCGAGCTTCCCAAAATTCAAGAAGAAGATCAGGACGCCGGTGGCGCCACCACGGCGCAGCCGCCGTCTTGCAGGCGTCGGAGTTGAGTTCTCTATTGACCGGGAGCAGAGCAGATGCAAGAAGCGAGTTATGCGACCCTTGGAAGTCCTCTGTGATCAAGATGGGATTCACGAAGCTGCTCTTGATGAGTACGCCAAGCTGTTCTCTCAACCCCTGTCTGACACTCATTCGTTGGCTTTGGCTTGTCTATTCAGATGGCGCACACCGGAGGAGCTGATAGAGGGCAGCAGCGAGGCACTGGTTGTCCAGTAAGCTGTGTAGCAGTAAAACGTGTTTTTGGTCATATTTTTCTTAGCTTCGTAATGGATCCAAACAAAAATCTTATTAGGAATGTAAGGGGATTAAATTCTAGAAGTCGACGGGATGCTGTTCGAACTCTTGTTGATTCAGCTCGGGTGGATGTGGTTTGTTTACGAGAAACAAAGATGCCATCCATTTCTCCGCGAGATGTATTCTCCATGCTCAGGGCTGATTTCAATCAATTCATCTTGTTGCCATCAATAGGCGCTAGTGGGGGAATTCTTGTGACTTCGGGAAGAGATGTTGGGGTCACTGGTCTCACCAGGGTTGATAATCACAGCATGTCAGTCCAATTCTCTTCAAGGAATAATCACCCCTGGTGGCTCACGTGTGTCTACGGCCCATAAGGAACTGAACAGAAGATTGAGTTCCTGCAAGAGCTCAGAGATATCAGGCAGGCATGTTTAGGTCCGTGGACAGTTGCTGGAGATTATAATCTAATTTACAGGGAAGAAGACAAGTGCAATGATAATTTCCATCTAGCTATGATGGGTTGTTTCCGGCATCTTATCAATGACCTTGGTCTCAAAGAAATACCCTTGCATGGGCGCAAGTTTACTTGGACAAATAATCATGTCTTAGAATGGGAGGAGCTGTTCTCTAATTGTTTACTACAATTTGCAGCATCAGACGACTCTGATCACTATCCACTGATTCTGGGCATGAATGATATCAAGCCGGGAAAAAAGAAGATTTCATTTTGAGTCATTTTGGCCTAAGCTTGAGGGTTTCCAGGAAGCGGTCGATGAGGCATGGAATTCAGCTCTGGTTGTCCCCTGCCCTTTTGAAACTCTTTATCGTAAGATGCAGGCAACATCCAAAAAAATTACAAGGTTGGAGTCAGAAGATTGTGGGACATGTCAAAACCCAACTTGGTCTTGCAAGGGAAGTGTTGCATCAATTGGAAATCGCTTAGGATGGTCATGCATTAACACCAATAGAGATTTGGCTAAGGAATTATCTCAAGAAGCATACTCTCGTGTTTTCTTCTCTTCTACGGGCCATAAGATGACTTCGGTCAAGAACAAGTTGGCTCAATGATGGTGACGCCAACACTGCTCTTTTTCATGCCCAAGCCCGCTATTGCAAGAGGACGAATTTCGTGGCACAATTAATGTTTGATGGACAGGTATACATGGACAACGAGAAGAAAGCGGAAATAATAGATGATTTTTACTCTAACTTATTGGGACAGAATGTCGCAAGAGAGAACATGATTAACCTTGTTGCTCTTGGGATCCCCTCTCATGATCTTTCTGAGCTTGATGCTCCCTTCTCTGAAGAAGTATGGATACAATCAAGCTGCTGCCACCGGATAAAGCACCTGGCCCGAATGGTTTCACGGGCCGTTTTTATAGAGTGTGCTGGCCAATCATTAAAAAGGAAGTCATGGAAGCAATTTCAGTAGTTTGGAGTAGGAAATTCAGAAATTTTGAGACTCTAAATTCGGCTTTCATCACCCTGCTGCCTAAAACAGAGGAAGCAAATTGTGCTAAGGACTTCCCATAAGCCTTGTTCATAGTTTCGCCAAACTTGTCACTAAATTATTGGCCAATAGATTGGCTGGTCGCTTACGGCAGATGATTTCTCCCAACCAGAGTGCTTTTATTAAGGGGAGGTTTATCCAAGACAATTTTATGCTTGTGTAGCAAACAACAAGGTTCTTGCATCAACAGAAGCATCCCCGGTTTCTTCTCAAGCTGGATATTTCAAAGGCTTGACACAGTGTCATGACCTTTCCTTCTTGAGGTAATGCAACAACTGGGTTTTGGGCAAATTTGGCATGATATTATTAGTGGGCTGTTAGGCTCCTCATCAACTCATGTTTTATTAAATGGAATTCCCGGTGAGGTTATCTTGCACTGGCGAGGATTACGGCAAGGAGATCCACTTTCTCCAATGCTCTTCATTTTAGTAATGGATGTGCTTGGCCAAATGGTGTTATTGGCAGCAAGAGATGGTTTGTTGCGGCCACTCTCCTCTAGATCTCTCCAGCACAGAATATCATTATATGCTGATGATGTGGTCTTATTCCTTCGACCTAAGATAAATGATATTGAAATAACTATGGATATACTTGACCTGTTTGGGGATGCATCTGGCCTAAACACAAATGTCCAGAAGAGTAGTGCTTATACTATTCGAGTGGAGAAGAGGAGATTCAAGTAATTCAGCATACCCTTCCATGTGAAGTTTCAGAGTTTCCTTGCCGATATGTTGGTTTGCCCCTCTCTTTAAAGAAGCTCACAAAGGCTCAAACTTTGTCAATTATTGATCGGATCGCCGACCAGCTGCCTGGATGGAAAGCTGATCTTTTGAGCCGAGCGGGACGAGCAATACAAGTACAGTATGTGATGACTGCTGTAGGGACCCGCCGTGTTAATTTACCTAAATCGAGTGTCATCCACTTGACCAACTCAATTTAAGAAAACCAACATCGGTGATTCCCCTGGAGATGCTATCCACATCTCCACAACGCAGGATCCCGATTGAGTATCATGCCACAATAGCCTCCACAACTCAAGATTACATCTCATCATCGGAGCACATAATAATTCAACGGAAAACATATATTACAAGTCTTATTGAATTTAACAAATTAATTATACAACATTAGAGAAGACGTTGATTTGAATCAATTATATGTAGTGAGAACCAACCACTATCTTACCAAACACCACTATTCTATGATATACTCTCATTAGTAACAGGTGGTCGCCTTGCCCATGGTCGTCGCCACCATAGCTCGGACGGCTCATGTCATTCACCCACTTTGCCACCAACGACGGGGTGAGATGGCTGTCAATGTCCTTTACCAGCAAAACAACTTAACGGTAGCACTACAAGTACATTTCATGCTCGCAGGACTTAATTTCAACATATATATATATTTGGGGATGCAAAGGGTATTTATCAGACATTTATACATTTGCAGAAAAGCAATGGCGTTTCTTAATATGACATGCTATGGATTCATCATTAAGGTATTAGCATTTATAAGTTCATGATACTAAGAGGAGTGATCAACATTTATGATTCATCTCATAAGCAATTAAGTTGTCAACACTACCATGGGTATAGAAAGTAGAGACAACCAAAGGGTTCCGTCCTAGGGACTTCAGGCTTTCAAAACTCTGTAGAGGTGTACAACTATATCCACACGGAAGAACGGGACTAACCACCATATCTTGTGCACAAGATAAAGGTTGTCTCACGTCTTCCAACTTTTCCCTAATTTAGCCCGAATATCACATGAAAGGTTCGATTGGTTCGCGGTTAATGCTACCACCATCTAACCGGCGCCACCTTCTTGCCAGTTCCATGGATAGACCGGTCTCAACTAGTTACTCGGCTTGCCAGCCCCATTCTCAGCATGTGGTCTGTACGAGTGGTTACTCGAACTCACGTATCCCAATACATGGTCCTTAACTGCTCCATGAGCTATGTCACCTGAGATCCCACACTCACAGTGACCTAGCAACGATTACCAAATTGATCATCAAATTAATGATTCAAATTAATGTGAGTCCTTAGTCAAGAATAGGGAAGTAGACACTTTGTATCCCTCATTCATTTTAGTAATTAATTATCCTGGTGTAACATCCTACATGCGCAAGCATGAGTTCCCTTCTCATACTTGACTTCTAACGTTACTAAGCAAATAAGCAATTAAACGTTCCAATCCCCATTGATTAAATGAAAGGCTCTAATTACTTAATGAGTAGTTCTAACTTAGTGAAGCATCATTAAGTTGTTAACCGAAACTACATGAAATGCACAACTCATAATGAAACATAGTAAGTATCCAAAATAGAGCTAATAATAGTGGGGTGCCTGCCTATTGGATGAGCAAGGTTCCCATAGCTTGGAACATCATTTGGCGTCTCTCCGATATCGCGTACCTTTAGGTATGCACATGTATGAGACATCTATATATGCATAAGGTAAATGATATGAGATGATATGCATTGATGTTACTTGATTAGAGTCTAACCATATATGTTATATGTAGGTGGCATAGGGTATATGTGCTGTCGGTTTGGTTTATCGGACAGTCCGGTGTATGTGTCGGACAGTACGCCAACTCAGGGACTTAGTGAAATTAGGACAGCTGGGCCATCAGACCCTGAGAGTGGGAGATTCACAACTTAAAACTCCACTTTATGAACTAAGCATGGCTAAGCATCATTGTTATCTACTACTACTACTATCAGGGTGACAAGGATGGGTATTGAAATATCAAGGCTGGCATGCAGCAATTGGTATTCAACCAAAACCTATTTTACTTAAATGCACAAACATAAGACTTAAGTGAATAACATTTGAAAACACAAGGATAGGGGTTATGCTCTGGGGCTTGCCTATGGTGTCGGGGTTGTCAGCCACTTCAAAAAATCATAGAAATCAGATCCAACTACTAACAGAAAACCCTTTTCTTGCTCAACTAAAGAATCACCACTATCGTTCACTAAACGTAGAAAAACATGCATGCTTCACTACTACACTCGGACCTTTCACAAACACGTCATAACCCCCATCGTAGCCGTATTTTGGCCTCGGCAGTAAGCTGTCGGCAGTGATGGTCATAGCCATCACCGTCAGAATCTGAGACCGACTGTGGTGTACACTACACCGCCGTATTGGCTTATGATCCATCCGTGATAAGGTCCTTACTTCCGTCGTATTGGACCACGGATCGTCTATGGGTATACACTAACACTGCTGCATTGACAAACGATCCGCCTGTGTGGAGGCTATCATCACCGTCGTGTGGGCACATCAACCACTTTTGCTTTGTACTTTGACCCAACTGTCTACGGTGTAGCTTCGCTGTCGCTTCGACGGGCGAGACGCCTGTAGAGGTAAACATCACCATTGCTTCAGCGTATAAACCGTCAGTACAAAGGTCATGGTCACCGTCGCCTTGCACTAGGATTCGCCTTTGATGATTG